GTTGGTGTATATATAACCTTGTCAGGAAAAAGTCTGACTGCACTTCAGTCAGCCATGCTCCTTGCAGGTGTGTTTGATGTTGCCATGGGCTGACCTTTTCCCTGAAGCAAAATCTTCTCTTGAGAAGTTGTATTTAAGCAGTGTGCCAAGGGCCTGAGGCTAATTAGATAGAGCAGGATAAGGTATGTTAATTAACACTCTGCATGCACTTTGTCTTAGCATTATTCCTCTTCTTTTCACCTCTGTGTGCTGAGTTGTGACTCTTAGAATAACCTACACCACGTTCCATGGAATATGGTTGCCAATGTCCAGTGTGGCCCATCTTACGGGTCTGAATTTTTTTGGCCATTCAGGTATGGGTTACATGTAAGAATAGCTGATGCTGTAGCATTTCTGTCCCTGGGAAACATCAGCATAAATAATTCAGTGGCTGTGTGTGGCTTCAGCAGTGGGAATAGGAAAAGATAAATACTTCTTGTTGAAATGGATGTGTGGTTCTTTATAGATACCAAACTGCTGAGAGCAGATGATGATTTCTTGTCTTAGATTATTTTTTTAATATAGCTATGGCCTTTTCCAGTAAGGGATTATTTATGGGAAGTAATAATAGATTAGATTCCTTTCGAAGACAAGCATGGGGAGTAATTCCCATTGTGGTGCAGGCTTTAAACAGTGTAGCTTGGTTTTTCAGGTTTTGGGTGCCTGTCTCCAAACTTTGCTGCTCTGTTTTGACAGCTGCTGTGAAGCTGCAGTGTGCACTAGTTCCAGTGAGGGGGGGAAAATGGCACTTTAAGTCCAGGTTCCCAGAGTGATGCACAGCTGCTGAGGGTGTGAGTGAGGCATCTGGGTCCTTCCACTCCCTCAGCCCTGAAATGGGGATGGCAGGGACTGCCTTGGGAAGGAATTGCTGAGACTTGGTTAACAGTCTGTGGATGCTGAAAAGAACTGTTGAGAAAACAGAGCACTATAACTGGAGATGGCAGAGGCTGGAGTGTCAGAGTAGAGGTTGACAGGTTGAGCTTGCATGACAACCAGGTGGCAGAGAGCACTGTGAGATGTGTTTTTTGTAAAATCCAGTGTTGTTTTAAATGAGATGCTGTTACTGGCTTGTCCTGAGCAGCATCCGTGCCGTGGTGTGAGCTGTCAGCTGCACACACGTGGGCTGAATTTGCCTTTTTTTAGCAGGGAATTTTTGAAAAGTGAGACCTTGTTTGTTGCAAACACAAGTGCTACTGCGCTCAGGTCAAATAATTGCTCTAATCATCTTAGCCTGCAGTGACATAATTAAATAGCTTGATCCATAGTAATGGTTGCTATCACATCAGACGGTTCTGTGGGTGCTGAAGAGGCTAGAGCAGAGAGCAGCCACACAGTGCAAAGAGAAGGACAGGCCCTTGCACAGAGGAGCCCTTCCCCTCTATACTTGCAGTTTGCACAGGTGAAAGATGTTGCCTCCTTTGCACAGAGCAGGGAGGTGACACACTGTGTTTGCCTTTGCAGGAAACCTGCGTGGATTTAACATGACAGCGCCAGCACTGCAGCAGTTCTTCCCTCAGGCTACAAGACATTCCCTCCTGGGACCACCACCTGTTGGGGTCTCCTTGAAGCCAACTCGGCTGGGCTTCCCCAGCCTTCCCTTCCAGCGGCAGAACCGAACCTTCCGCAAGGTGAGCTCCTGCTGGGGAGCTTTGTGCTCCTTCTGCACTTGCAGCTGTTGACTCTGCTGGGGGCGGAGTACAAAGGAGAAGGGAGAGAGCCTTACAAAGAAAACTGCTTTGCATCATGCTGCTGACACAGAAATGTAGTAATAATTCCATCCCTAAGGTTCTTGTGCTCCGTGTTTACATTCACGATGCAAAGGTTTCTTGTCACTTCTTGCCCAAGCGAGAGAATTCCTCGTAGCAGAACTGTTTAAACCTGAGATATAAAAGGAGCCTTTAGAAGCACCAGCTTCAAAGTAATTACAACAGAAGAAATCCTGGCTGAGTGCTTTGCTCTTCCCAAGCAGTTTGTCGTTCCCAAATGACTTGCTCCTACCATGGACGTTTTGCCTCTTCGGGCTATTTTCCCTCTCTTTATTTATTCTTGTGCATTTTGTTAAATCTACAATAATATTTTTTTTGTGAAAACCTTTCTCACTTTCCACCATTAAGACCTCATTTGTATCCTGGTTGTATCTTGGTTAATTGGCTGCTACTTTTCTCCTCTTAGATCAGTTTTTGCATATTTCATCCCATTCTGTCAAAGAGATGTGGTGGATAAGGTAGATTTCTACTCTTGGACTGTCCTTTCTCCAGAGTCTAGATAAAGGGGATTGTTTTGGACTATTCTTTTTCCTGCCCTTGCACCGCTGGCCAGACAGAGTCCCCCTGTCCCTACTCTCTGTACGCAGTTGTATCTCCTACAACTGCTGCTTAAAGCATGGGGGAGGTGTCCTGGGCTGCCTGTGGATCTGAGGTGCCTCACTCTGACCATGTAAACTTGCCTTAGGCAGAGTAGTCCATTGTAAACCACCTCTTCATGTCCATTTCTGCATGCTGG